TCTTCACTTGAACTTTCTGTTCAAATCTTTTCTCTTGGTTTCACCTTTGTATCTTATGCTTGAGTGCTTATGCATGTTATTGTTTGTTCACGATATAGTTTCAAGAGTGCGAGGCTTGCTACTACGAATCACTAGGGATTTCCGATCGTCAGCAAGGCAAGTAACACTTTGATCATATCCCTTTATTACCCAGTTTTTATGCATTAGTTTCAACCCTCAAACATTGCATGAGTAGGATTTGTTAACATGTGGGTATTGGGAAGTAGTTGATGAGGTAGAACCTATTGTCTTATATCAAACCCTGGGTATTTACTACGTTATGCTTATACTGCTATGCTATGCTCGTAGACGTGGTTTGGTTTGAGAGAATTCATGAAAGATGTGAGAGATCATTGTTAACTAAGGTTTAACTTAAGGTGGATACTTTAATACACATCCGGGTGGATTGTTTGTGGGCACCTGGGAATCCAGTGTTGTCCAAAGGAGATCCCGGGGTATCCGTGTGATCATCCTATGGTTTGCCACCCAGGCTCAAAGGGATCATAATGTTATTCATGCTGGAAACTTCCGTGTGCAGCCACAAGCCATTATGGGCTCTCACATAGTTGAGTATGTTGCGTGACCTCTTTCAGTGGTAGACTAGCAGATGTAGAGGATGTAGGTGGTACGGTCTACCCATCGTAAGGAGTTAATGCTTCTGAAAGACTGTGTCTCGGTCATCCATTTCTCAAACCTCATGTAGTGCGAGAAATTCAACGGAGGAGATCGAGTCTTGTGGGGAGAAGTGCGCAAACCTCTGCAGTGTACAAACTAATCATGGTTAGGCGTGTCCCTGGTTATGGACATCTTGAGTATCTGGTGCTTGAATTATTATGTTGATCTCATCACTCTACTTAATTAATTTGTCGGGTTATTAAACTTTTAATTTTGGGATTAACTTGGGGTTACCTTCTCAATGTTTTCAACAGACTTTGTAGTTAAATAAAATATATTCCTTTGTTGTAGGGAAAAACTAGCTTTATGCAAACTAATAACCATAGAGCCTCCACCAACCATATATGCATGTAGTGATAGTTGATATTTGTTCATTGCTCTATAGTGTTATCTTTGCCAGCATATTCCATGTGCTGACCTACACAAGCTGCAAGGTGTTATGTTGCAGAGTTTTCAGACGAAGATAAGGTGCGCTAGGTCGTTGTCGTGCACTCAGTATTGCCGTGGAGTTGGATGGACTCTTCTACCTTCGAAGCTTCCGTTGTTATCTTATTTAGTTCGCCTTTAGCCATATTATTGTAATAAGTCCTCTTTTGAGACATTCAATGTAATAAGTGTGTGATTGAACTATGTTATAAATCCTCGAGTATTGTGTGTGTCAGCAATACCGATCCAGGTATGACACTTAAGCACAGAGACTTGACCGTCTGAGGTTGGGTCGCTACACTAGTCGTATCCTTGGAGGAATCTACATACAATCCCAAGGAGGAAGCATCAACTGCATCCTCGGGAATGGCGGTGATGGTGGGCAAGCCTGCTAGGAATTCGTTCAACAAGTTTTTCACGTTGTCCAACATAGATGTTTTGAGTGCACGACAATCATGTTTTCCATGATAGGTGCAACCTCTTGAATTACATTTTAATTTTTGCCGACCATACTCTTTAGGCGGTAAAACCCTCATAAAGAGACGAGGCTCTGATACCAATTGAAAAGATCAGTATGGTCGACTAGAAGTAGGGGGTTTGAATATGAGACTAACATTTTTTTTACTTTCTTCGCAAATATTAGGCTCAACAATAAAATAGGTTGTCCAAGTATGCAACTAGGCGGACAACCTATATGACAAACACTACAAGTGCAAGCAATGGAAAACACAAGTTAATAGCTTGCACAAATTAAAGGTCTAAAGGATAGAAATAACCACAAGTGGACACGAGGATGTTTTTTTGAAGTTCCGTCCTTTGGGGGAGGTACATCTTCGTTGCAGAGGTGTGGAGGATCAATGATCCCCAATTATCCCCTGGATTCGCCTTATTCTCCTCACGCCCTCGCATGATGCAAGGTGTCGTGCACTTGAATCCACTAGCAGATCCCTTGAAGGTGGCAACCGGGACCTTTACATATAAGGTTGGGGCAATATCCATAATTAAATTTGGAGGCTCCCAACACCATCACGAAGCTTCACCAAAATGGAATATGGATCTGCGGTGACCTCTTCCGTCTAGGGCGCTCAAACACCCAAGAGTAACAAGTTGATGAAGATGAAAGAGTCGGGAGAAGGCAAATCGGTTTGGTAGGAATGTAGGTTGGATGAATCTCCTCCAATCCCCAAAGTATTGAAGAGTTTGGGTGGCTGGGGATGGAAATATCGAGCTTTTTCTGGTTTGGAAATGGTACGGAAAAGCTTGAGAAAGATTAGGGTTGGAAGGTAGAAGAAGGGGGGGTATTTATACCCCACGCGGGAGAGATGACCGTTGCACAACTGCACCTCCAGGCACCCAGACTACAGGGATCTAGGTACCTAGACAGGTCAGTCGCCAGTCAGCAGGGGGCACTCGGAGGTCCAAGACCCCGGGCACCCGGATCGTCCAGAGAGAATTCGCGGGATCGCGGGTAACCGGGCCCCGGGGGCTCCGGGCACCCGGACGAGGCCGAGGCCAAGGCAGATTCTCTGGTGCCTCCGGGCACCCGGACCTTTGGAGGGGGTCATTTCTTCGATGATAAATCCCTTCCGAAAATCATGAAATATGTGGAGAAACATTTCATATGGAATTTTATTGAGTTCCCTAACTCCCTAATCTCTGCAACCCCTCTTAATGGTACGGATGTTCCTACGACTCAAAAAGTAACCGAAAAAACTTTCCGAGCCACGAAGAACACCGTCTTTTGCCCTTTTTGAATAGATGGGATTGTGAAGTCTATAGACCAAAAGGAGAAGCCAATGTCTCGAGATAAACTTGAAAACCGACATTAGTTCACACAAATTGTATTGTGATCAACACCAAAATCATAATTGAGTGACATTTGCACTTTCACCTAGTTACTTGTGTCCTTTATTGTTCTTTGATCTAGATGCACCTCTTGTATCGTCTTGTAATTTTGTTCATTATTAGGTGGTGAGACTTATCCCTTGTATTTCCTCTTGTGTTTTCCCTGATTTCCCCATGTGTTCTCCGTGTTCTTCCTCAATTCCACCTCCAATCATGAAAATCAGGCCACCCCTATAGCTTGCTCCATATCACTAGGTAAAATGTGCCTCTACTTCGCTAGGACAATGCTCACAAACTTGGTGAGGGACTCCCTGGCATCGTGCGTCGCCCTAAAACGAGTATAGTGACCTTGTTTGTTCCCTGTAAGCTTGATGTCTTAAGATATTGCTAGCTTTCATAATAAATTTCTCAACTAACTCCTCGTAACAAAGAACATCAGGCGCTTATGGAATGTACCTCAACCTCTCCAACCTTTGTGAAACCAACATATGGCTCAAGTAAGATAGCCCAGAACCTAAAGATCCATGGTGCCTGATTTTATAATCTTTCCCAACCGCATAAGCAGAAAACTTGTGCCACAAATAGATTCGTTCCAATTGTTAAGAGTCGTACATCTTGCGCTAGATTCTCGGCCATCCGCATCTCCTTGAAGAAAGTTGATTGACTGAAATATTTATTTGTGTTGACCTTTACTAGCGCGAGCCAACACATATTTCCCTTGATCACCGAATCTTCATCATCTATCTCCACAACGTCGAAGTTTTCCCGTTGGAGGTCCAACAGTTCGAAGGCTACATCAAGTTCCCTAGGAACTCCACTCCGCGACCCGTCACTCGTTGTAGACTACACATCCGACGTCGCCACCATTACCACGTTTTCTTAATCAGCCGCCATGCAAACCCTAGCCTTCGTGTTAGTGCAACCTCAGGAAAGCGAGACAGAGACCTCTGCCCTAGGCCCCCATGATATCACCATTCAAAAGCTGATCCATATCGGATCTGAGGAAAACTCACCACTGATGGAATCGTCGAGAGGATTAAAATAGTAGCCGTTGTATAGGGACTCGGCGTCATGTGGCATGGACTTTTGTTGGGTAGCCACATAAGACTAGGTGAGACCCCGGGTAAAATTTATTTATTTTTCCTCTACAGAAGAGTGATCGTTTAGACTTCATGTATTGTCTAATGGAGACATCGGTTATAAAAATGTTCTGCATGTGCTGGCTTACCACACTTGACCTAATACGAGTTGTAATGTGAAAAAAAAAACCTTTAAAAAAATCGAAGACATGCTCTACTATGAAAATGAAGGATACTTGTAAAAATGAGAACACACTGTACACGTCGACGAGTAGATGTCATGGATCTAAAGGTGCAATAATGACTAGGATTTAGTTGTGCGCATCAGGTTGTGAAACATGTTCTGGTTTCAAATTTGGAAACTTTAAAAATCAAAAATTTTAGTTTCAAAAAGTTCTATAAAAATCACTAATACCTAGAGACATAATGTATATGTGTGTAAATTTTCATTTTCAGGTTGAAATACGTTAAAATGAAAGAAAACTGTGGCTTTTTAGCATATGTATTGTTCATCCTCAAAGTCCATGATTTTTATTTATTTTTGTTCAGCTCGCAATTCAAGGTATTTCATCCTGAAATTTTACACACTTACACATTTCATCTTTGTATACATGTGTATTTGTTTTCAGAATTTTTTAAAACTGAAAAGGTTGAATTTTGAAAATTTCAAAATTAAAGACTTCATGGATCTCGATCTCCAAAATGCCGTATTCTTCATAGAGCGGTATTAGAAAAGGAAACTAAATCCTAGAAAAAACATGCAGAAGGCCATTTCTGAGAAGCAATGTTATGCAGGATGTAAACAATGCTACAAATGCCCATGTAATAAATCCATCGTCTCCATCTTAGAGATAAATCCTTCGTGATCCATGTAGTAGTAAGCAACAAAACTACCTTTGTGATAAATAGACTCGCCAAACCATTTACCAGCTTGTATCAAGCCAGCAGCACCTCGTCGATGAGCCTATCAACGTTGCGCATGGACCTTCCGCCACGCCGTGCGGAGGCCACCGCGCTCCCGCGAAGCTCCAGCACGCGCCGCCGCATCTCTCGGCCTTTTTCCCCCTCCATGGTCTCCCGTATCATGGCCTCCACCTCGGCCCTCCTCACGTCGTCCCCAATCTCCATCCCGATGCCCCACTCCGTGCACTTGTACCGGCAGTTGGTCTGCTGCTCGGCGAAGAACGGCCAGCACACCATCGGCACGCCGCCGCAGATGCTCTCCAACGTCGAGTTCCACCCGGAGTGCGTCAGGAACACCCCAACGGCCTCGTGCTCCAGCACCTTCTCCTGTGGGCACCATGTCGACAGCATGCTCCGCCCCTCCGTCTCCGCGGAGAACTCCGGCGGAAGTGCGGCCCCGTCGCCCTTGACGAGGTCAGGCCGCACGTTCCACAGGAAGGCGTAGCCAGTGTTGGCCAGCCCCCACGCGAATTCCAGCATATGCTCGTTCGACATCACCGTGATGCTCCCGAAGTTGACGTACACCACGGAGCGCGGCGGCCGGTCGTCGAGCCACCGAAGGGGCGCGTCCTCCTCCTTCCACAGGTTGGACCCGATGCCGGCGACGGGGCTTTTCTCCGGGACATTGTTGCGAACCGTGAGATGGAGCGGCCCCACTGTGTAGACGGACGGCAGGAGCTTGGACATGGCATCGAGCAGTGGCGCGTCCAGCTCGTCGAAGGTGTTGATGACCACCCCCGACGCCTGCGACATGCCGGCCGTCTCGTGGATGAAGAAGTTGAACATGATGTCATCGGGGTCGGTGGTGCGGAAGAAGCTCGGGAGGTCACGCAGCCGCAGGTCCTTGGGCGCCGCCGGTATCCAGTCGATGGTCGTGTCCAAGGATCCATCGCTCAACTGAGCCTCTTCTGCACCAGTAACAAACTAATTACTGTGCAAAATATATAAGAGAGTAGACACATAGTATCAAATAAAAATCCAACTTACAAAATATGTATATATGAATATAGACATACTACCTTTGAGAGGGAAGAGCCCGCGGTGGACTAGATCCTTGAAGTGGTAGTAGCCCATGAAACCACAGGCGCTGGCGGTCCAGAGCGTGGCGCAGCCGAGGCCGAGCTCCCGCGCGGCGCGGAGGGCGAAGGTCATGGTGCTATCGGCCACCACGCAGGTGACCGGCGGCAGCGCGCCACCGGAGGTCTCGGCCTCCTCGTTGAGCTTGGCGACGAGCTCCTTGAACCTGGGGAGGCAGGTGGTCATGGTGGAGTAGCACAGCGCAGGGACGTCCTGCGTGCCCTCGCGGTCGGACGGCGGGAGGCCGTCGGCGATGGCAACGAACCGGAACGCGGGCAGGCCATGCAGGGCGTCCGCGCCCTGCGAGCGCAGCAGGCGGCGGTGGTTGAACTCGTTGTTGACGAAGGTGACGTGGAAGCCCCTGGTGTGGAGCAGCTTGGCCAGCTTCAGCATCGGCGTGATGTGACCCTGCGCCGGGTAGGGGATCATCACGGCGTGCGGCCTCTCTCCCGGCGGCAAGGACCCCATGGCTTTGCTAGCTAGCTGCGTCGCCGTGTTGGTTCCGGTAGCGCTCTCGGTCACCACGTTGCGCGCGTGGCCGTGTAGTGGGGCTGTGGCAAATGAGCTCCTGACGCGGTGGTATATAATACGGCGGGCGTGGGCGGAGCCGTAGACGTCTCCGCGTGCTCACATATTGTTGGATCTCCAGTTGAGTGAGTAGTCACTGGCTGGGCGCTGCAACCGTTGGCGCTATGTCGATGAATTATTGTTGCGGATGGGCCACGAGATCCGCGCATCCTTTTGTTTACGTCCGGCGCAGTTTCTCGGGGATTCATTGGCCACTTTATTTGGACTGGTACCAAGAAGATGGGCACGCTGTGTGCACGAGGGTTGTTGCTCTATTATAGTACTGACAAAAATCAGGGCGGCTGCGAATCAATCTGTGGTTGAGTTGGTTAGGTGAACAGTGGTATTCTCAATCCATCAGGGTTCAAATTCTGGTGCTCGCATTATTCCTGGATTTATTTCAGGATTCGGCGATGCGCTTTCAGTGGGAGGAGACGTTTCCGTCGACGACGAGGCGCCTACAGTGACTTCGTAAATCTCAAAATGATATGCCGGCTCAGTCTTTCGGAGGTGCTCATAGGGGTAGGGTGTGCGTGTGCACGTTCATAGGGGTGAGTGTATGCGCGTGTATATGAGCGCTTGTGTCTGTAATGATGCTCAAAAAAAATCAGGGCGGCTAAGGGGAAATGTGAAGATAACCCCGTCCGTACGTATAAATATGCATCAGATTCAAACGGTACTCCACGAATTTTACAAAACTCTAGAAAGATATCGAAGTATTTGGGATCTCTTTCGATCGCCCAATCAATATAATCCTAAAAATCCATCTAAAAAACATAATCCTAAAAATAGGTGAAAAACATGGATACTTGAACAGGGAAAAGCATTTGCTTTCGGCATCATTTGATTAGTCACCACGTACGTATGGCACCTGGTTAGAAAAAACCATATCGCCTTGTTTTGTCCCGGACAAAACGAGCGGCCAATCCCAGTGTCACAGCTCGACTCCTCCCCATCCCCAATACACTCCCTCGCAACTAGGGCTGGATTTGGAGCAGAGCCAAACATGTTGGGCTTGACTCGTTAGAGTTTGTTAAGATAAAATGTCGGATTTTGCGAGATTCGGTCCATGTTGGTTTCGGTAGTTCTGGCCATGGGAAGCCCGGCCCGGCCTGACGCTGCTCCCGGGCCGAGCTCGGGCCTAGATTTTGAGCCCGATGGTCGGGCCAGGCCGGGCCCATAGTTTTTGCAATTTTTTAAAGGTGCCTGGCCCGAGGCCCGGCGGGCTTTTATGTGTTCGGGCCGGGCTTGGGCCCAGGCCTAGGTTTTTTGCCTCGGGCTTGGTTAGGCCCGACCCGACCTGAGGTTTGGCCACGTATAGTCTTCGGTGAATCTATTTGGATCCGTTTTTTGTTCGTCTTCGTTTAGGTGTTTACAGGTTTGGTTCTTCTGATCTACGACTTCCTTCATCGGCAATGGTTGCTACTCTGGTGCGCTGGTCCTATGAGGCCTTAACACGACAACTTCCCGACTGTCTACTATAACAAGGTTTGCTCGACTCCGATGAGGGAGGGGCGGTGACGGCGGCGCGCCTTCGGCTCGCTCCAGCGCTTATAATCGTCGCTAGGTGGTCCACGGACATGGTTGTAATTGTTATTACCTCTGTTGTTCTTTGTACTGCCATGATTGAAAATGAATAGATTGGAAGTTTCTCGCAAAAAAAGATAAAATGTCGGTTTGGCTGGACTCGTTAACATAACTAGAAATGATACCCCGCGTGTTGCTGCGAGAATTGGATGCAGTTATTTCTACAAGATTGACAATATGAAACTTTAGTTTTTGTATTAGCACTACGAGAATAGAAACTAAAGTACGTACAAATACAATATATTATTATACATTTGTAGAATATTTATGAGTAAAATGTATCATAAGTCCTAAAACTATTGGAGGTGTGTTAGTTTAGTCATATAATTGCGAAACCGCAGTTTTGGGTCCCAAAACTATTGAAGATGTGTCAGTTTAGTTCTATAACTTTGAAACTGCGGTTTTGGATTCTAAAACTGGAGATGTGTCACTTTAGTCATATAACCGTGAAACCGCAGTTTTGGGTCCCCAAACTATGTAAGGTTGTTCATCTTAGCTCCTAGGCTTGCATGGCCAGCATTGAACCATCGACATGTCGCTTGGAGATGCTTGAATTGTTGCCACATTGACCCAGTGGACCCACTAGATTAACTTATGAAAGGTAAATATGCAAGAAAACCCCTAGAGCGTTGTCTCGCCTCATTCTCACGCCCTTGTCTTCTCCCATGCACAGAATGTTTAGAGGCGATAGTACGGAGGCCATCGGTGGCATGATGGCTTGAGCTCCAGTGAGAAGAGTAGACCGGTCATCTCAGCCTCACCCAACCGTAGCAGAATGACACGTCGCACAACGTCCAATTGCTACCCACATGTGGCTGTTGTTGGGCGTCACCCTCGCCGACCTTTGAGCCAGCTCTACGGTTTCCGCGCACTCCTCCGTGTCGTCCGGCAACAACGACAATTCCCTACTTGTGCCCATGCTCGTGCCCAAACAACAACCTGCACAACTAGCTCTACGGCAAGGGTGTCGGGTCAATGACGATGTCGTGAGAAAGAGAGAGAGGTGAGTGGGATGGCGTCCTCCATCCAGATTGGCTCAGGATATCCCTAGCGGCCGTGCCAAGGGAGAGGGATGTCATCCTCCATGCCGACTTGCTCGTGGTCTCCTGGCGACTACCCAAACCTCTTAGTGAGGCTGCCCTGCAGCTCATGCCCAGGCAGGTTGCAGCACACACTGCCAGATGGAAGCGTATGGGCCATGTTTGGGGAAGTAAAATACATATAAAGAGCTCATTTGAAAAAAATGAACCATAGATGCTGGTCATGCAAGCTCGGGATCTGAGATGAACAAACTTATATAGTTTTGGGACCCAAAACTGTAATTTTGAAGTTATAGGACTAAAGAGACACACCTCAAGTAGTTTTAGGACCCAAAACTACGGTTTCAAAGTAACGGGACTAAACTGACACACCTTTGATAGTTTTAGCACCCAAAACTGCAGTTTCGAAGTCATAGGAGTAAACTGACACATCTTCGATAGTTTTAGGACTTGTGATGCATTTTACTCAATATTTATTGGATAGGAGTAGCATGCATGAGGCATGTTAGTGTGAGTTTTCCGTGCATAATGACATGTTGAGTTGGCATAGTTGCATGTTGAGATAACTAAATTAGTGGGGCATGCACGGTGGCATGGTCAGTTGGCATAGTTGCGTGTTAAGATAAGTGAGTTAGTGGGGATCACTTATTTGGTGGGCCTACTTGATGATGTGGATAGGTTGCATGCCAAGATAAATAAGATAGTGGAGATGAATCTTTCAGGTATATAGGATAAGCTCAGATTTAAACTTCTCTCAACTCATGTGTCTCATAATTTACCTTATTAAAGTTGTTATAAATGTGTCCCAGTGGTTTATCAGGTTAGGGCCTCCTACAGTCCGCCATCTACAAACTACTTCATGGCTCTGAGATTTTGTTTCCCCTGTCAGTATTCGTGTTGTCTATGTTTGTGCTCTCTGTGGGTTTAGTTGTGCTACTAGTGTCTATTGTCTATGTTGGTTCAGTGTGTTGTTAGTGCATGTGGTTTCATTTTGCATTCTTGTGGTTGTTGGATCGGTATGTTCTATTGTATTACTGATGTGAACCTGATGGCAAGATTTGTCTATTGCTGCCACTACCTGTTGTTCAGAGTTGCATTAGATGGTTATGAGTTGAATATTGTTTCCATATGGATTTAGGCCTCCTCAATTTGAAATGTCTGGGATATGAACAACCCAACTTGCCGGCGTGCCATCCAAAATCGGATGAGAAACATAAAGTACAACTTAATTTATCTTCAAGAAAACAAGATAGTTAACTTCTTGATATCCCTTGTGTGTGAAAAGGTCAGCCCAAAATTTTGTGATAACTTCATTTTCAAAGTTGTCGATGGCAAGAGGGGAGCCATTATCATTGCATGCTCTCAGGATTTTTCTGTTGCGACCATGACCACGGTGTCGGGTCGGCATCCCCTTTCGGCAGATATCATAGATAAGTCTGATGGCTCATCCCAGTCAATTATCGTGGTCTATGGGACCCAAGATGATCATGATAAGACCCTGGTGCGCGTCAGTCCTAAACAAACGGTTTTTTACCCCTTTCCGCGACAACATTTGGAACCGTCGGCAAGTGAGTGTGGGTGATAGGGGGGTCCTTCCCACACGACCCAGAAACCGTCGGGGATAGGGAGCCTTGATGCATACAGTTGTCGTTTCCGATATCTTGATTGCCATCGCAGTTGGAGTTTTGTGGTGCTGCCTAAAACCAGGAAGATTCTAGGCACGGGAGCTTTCCAGGCAGATTCTAGGCAGATTCCAGGCACGAGAGATTTATGATGCCTGGCACATCACAAACAGTTCATGATTATAAACCGTGTATGATAGGTAGATGCTACCTCTTGAGCACTGCGTTGGTTTTCCCTTGAAGAGGAAAGGGTGATGCAGTAAAGTAGCGTAAGTATTTCCCTCAGTTTTTGATAACCAAGGTATCAATCCGGTAGGAGATCACGCTCGAGTCCCACACACCTACACAAACAAATAAGAACCTCGCAACCAACGCGATAAAGGGGTTGTCAATCCCTTCACGGTCACTTACGAGAGTGAGATCTGATAGATATGATAAGATAATATTTTTGGTATCTTTATGATAAAGAGAAATAAAGATGCAAAGTAAAATAAACGGCAATAGAAATAACTAAGTGTTGGAAGATTAATATGATGGAAGATAGACCCGGGGGCCATAGGTTTCACTAGTGGCTTCTCTCAAGAGCATAAGTATTACGGTGGGTAAACGAATTATTGTCGAGTAATTGATAGAATTGAGCATAGTTATGAGA